AGGGAAAGTACTTAGATGTGTATTTTCTTACATGTTATGTTTTTAATTCCTTCGTACATGTGTATATTACTATAGTGTTTAAAAACTATTTTAAATTTTAGGATGCAAATCACTATGCTTATTTTTCTTCTAAAGTATCAGTTTTTAAACTTTAAGTCAGCAGAGGGGAGGGGGTGATGAAGGGAGGGCAGGGCCAAGGGGAAAAAATGAAAACCAAGACCTGTCGTGTAAAGGTACAAGATCCGAATAGTGAATGTAACTGTACTGGATACCTAAAAAGTACCAATAAACTCAATGAGGAAAAAAAAAAAAAACTTTAAGTCAGCAGAAACTTGCTCTCAAATAAAATGTTAACAGATATGCCTTACATAAAATAAAAGTTGAGTTGCTAGGGGGTAGAGAAGAAGAACAGCCCCTGGAGTATTTTTGCAGAGCCCAAGTGTTGTGGTTAACAGAATATTTTTTTAAAAGTACCTTGGAATATTACCATATTTTATTACCTCAAAAACATCAACTAGCATAATACATACCATGTAGTACAAAGAAAGAAAAAATATCGCCACTTTACCTATGGCATGCCACAAAATGCTTATAAGATGCAACCCACTTAAGTAAATTAAGATGATTTATATGAATATTTGTCTACTTACGCTCTTATGGATCATCAATTCTGATATACACATAAATCATGTTAATTTATTCATACAGTCAATCTGAGAAATTTCAGGGAATCCGCCACAGCGGTTTCAGGTAAATGCTAGTTTCCATTTACTGAGCACTAAAAAGACCTATACACCAGACAGATGCTAAGTGGGGGAGCTCTCTCGGCGCTCCCGGCCTTCCTTCCATTTCTTAATGCTCCCATTTAGTAACCGCTGTCCAAGTAGAGTGCTAAATGCTGTACCTCTGTTATCTCATGATTCTGATACATGGACAAGTATGGAAACCATGTACAAAATCTTAGGAAGGCTTAGATGGAAACTATGGATGGGGGAAGGAGAGTTGTATGTCATTCTCATCAAGGAAGCAGTGACCTCTTCATGTTTTAGAAAAATGAGACCATGCTTGGTTAGGATAATCCAACCTTGAGACATGCATAAGGAAAACATCGCCTATTGAAAATCCCACATAAACCACTGAATCCCTACTTTGAACCACCCTACTTTGGGTGGGGTGAGTCCTTCTCATCAACCAACCCTAGCCCCAAACTCAGGGACTACGAGGAAGAAGGACATCATTTCTGGTTAAAATGTGATGCATTCCCAGACCTAGTCCAAAATGCAAATCTCCTAAGAATGATTCTACCCCGTGCCTCCTTTTTCATTGGCTTCTCCGAGACCCAGAGATTAGAAGTTAAGATCACACCTCCAATATATCAGCCCTAAAATTCTTACATAAAGAAATACAATTTAATCTTGGTTGCAATCAATAAAGGGAAAATGGCTATCTAAAAGTACAATGGTTTATCTTGAAACTAGTGTGATTCCTTCTCTCTCTTTTTCTTGTTTTTTATTTTAAGCCAGAGTCTAAGTTGCTAAAGTACTCAGGCGAGGCTCAAATTTTTTTTTTATTTATTTATTTTGTATCAGGGCCTTGTGCTTATGAGATAGGTGGTTGAACCACTGAGCTAAATCCCCGGCCCTGAAAGTAGTGTGTTTCTTGTCATGCAATTGTGGGTACAAACTACAGGTGGTAGGCACTACCCACAAATGGCTGTAGCACTGGAAATATGGAAATGTGACTACAGCAAGCAATTCTTAATTTTTTTGAGGCAGGGTCTCACTATTTAGTTCAGGCTGCCTTTGAACTCACTATGTAGCCCAGGCTGGCCTCAAACTCCCAGCAATCCTCCTGCTTAAGCCTCCTGAGTGCTGGGATTACAGGCAAGTGCCACCATACCTGGCTGACCTGTTTATTTTTATCTCATTTCAATTTCAAATAGCCAGTGAGGTTGTGGCTACCCATATTGGACAATACAACTCTACAAGGATAACCTCATCCTTGTCAATTTTGAGATCAGAGCTGAATATCAAGGCCTGCTTTTAAGAAAATACCAAAAGTGCAGACTATGAAAACACAAAAAACCCTGACACAGAACTGAAAGGAGGTATCCAAATGTATGTGCTTCTTGCCTTTAACTGTAGAACTTATAAAAAGAAAGGTCAACATCAAACCAGTATTCTCGGCCACCTTAAGAATATGGTTCCACTTTAATATCAAATCTTAAAAGGTAGAAATAATAGAAACAATAAAATGGTGGTTGTCAGAGGCTAGATGTGGGGAGGGAATGAAAAGGTGTTGGTTAAAAATTACAAAGTTAGGTTGAATGAATTCTGGTGATCTATCATACAGCACAGTGACCTGAGTTAATAAAAATGTATACTTGAAAATTGCTAAAATATAAAACTTTAAATATTCTTACTACAAAAAATAAAGCAAAAAGTATTAAGATGTGTTATAGCCCAACTTCCCATGTAATCATTATATATTTCAAACATAAACTAATAAAAATTAAAAATAAAATTTAAAACATATGCAAGGTGATGGATATATTAATTTGACTTAATCATCTTATAATGTGCCCATATATCAAAACATCATGTTATACATTGCAAATACATACAATTTTTACTTGTCAAAAATGTTTAATATTCAGAAACATTAAACTTGCTGGAAGGTAAGTTAGGCAGAACTCTGGAAGACATTGGTATAGGAAAAGACTTTATGAACAAATCCTCAGTAGCACAGGAACTAGCAGAAAGAATCAACAACTGGGATCTCATCTTACTAAAAAGCTTCTGTACTTCAAAAGAAACCATTAGCAGAACTAAGAGACAATCTACAATGTGGGAAAAAATTTTTACCAGCTGTACCTCAGACAAAGGACTATTATCAAGGATATATAAAGAACTCAAAACAATCAGTCCCCCCAAATATAAAGACCCGATCCAAAAATGGGCATCCGAAATGAACAGACATTTCTCATACAAAGAAGTGAAAGCAGCAAGAAAATATATGAAAAAATGTTCCACATCACTGGTCATTCGAGAGATGCAGATGAAAACAACACTGAGATTCCACCTCACCCCACAAAGAATGGCTGCTATCAAGAAATCACACAATAACAAATGTTGGCGGGGTTGTGGGGAGAAAGGAACCCTCCTCCATTGTTGGTGGGAGTGCAGACTAGTGCAACCACTATGGAAATCAATATGGAGATACCTCAAAGAGCTTGGACTGGAGGTTCCATTTGACCCAGCCATCCCTCTGTTGGGTATCTTTCCAAGAGAACTAAAAGAATCATATCACAGAGAAGTATGTGCACCCATGTTTATAGCGGCACAGTTTGTAATAGCTAAATCTTGGAAACAACCTATTTGCCCATCCGTTGGAAACTGGATAAAGAAGTTGTGGTTTTTCTATAAAATGGAATATTACTCAGCCATAAAGAGCGAGAGAATAGATTCATTCATAGGAAAATGGATACATATTGAAGATATACTCCTAAGTGAAATAAATAAGTCCCACATGTGTAAATACCAAATAGTTTCCCTGGTGTGAATATTCTGCAACAATGCATAAGATTCTAATAAGATTACTGACATTTAGAAATGGGAGGAAAGGAGCTAAAGGTGTAGGGAAGGTGTGATACGTAGGGGAAGAACAAAAAGGGAAAAGAAAAAAATGTGAGAGAATGAAAAGATGAAAATAAAGTGTTTGTAGATGGGGAGGGGAGGAGGGGGTGAAGGGAGGGCAGATATAAGGGGAAAAAATGAGAATCAAGACTTGCCATGTAAAGGTACATGATCCCAACAATGAATGTAACTGTACTGTATCCCTAAATGTACCAATAAACTCAATAAAAAAAATGTTTAATATTGAAATGACTTTAAGTATAACCCAAGCAGCTGTTAAAATGCTGGTCATTAAATTTCATCCCAAATTAGTCGATTACGGGCCAACTAAGGGCATGGTATGACTTCTTGATAAGTTCTCTGTGTGCTGTGCATATCCTAACAGTGACTGTCTTTATTTCTTGCTTCTCTCCCTCCATTCAACTCATAGTGTATATGCTTCATTACCCCTGTCATTGACCAGCTAATCCCACTTGTATCTTAGGCCCAAGGAATTACATGCTTTGGCCAAATGATTCAACCAATTGCTTCACTCCCAGATCAAAGTGGTCACTGGACTGAACTGATAAGCCGGCCAGTAACCCTGTGTTGATCTGAAGGAAGAAATGTCTTGGTTTCTCTCCCACTCATGCACATGCCCTTTCATTAGGTTAGTTCTGCCCGTGTACAAGAAGTGTTAGATAAAACACTTCTTAAATAAACAAAATATGAATTCTATCAAGAGATTTAAAAAACTTGACGGCCAGGGATGTAGCTCAGTGGCGCCACGCCTGCCTCGCAAGCATAAGGTGCTGAGTTCAATCCCTGGTACAAAGAGAGAGACGGGACAGGGAGGAGGACTTCATCTAGAGAAAAACTGCAATTGGAAAATTTTAAAAGGCTGAGTCTCCATCTATTCAGTGAATATTTAGCAAGGACCTCCTATGTATCAGACACTGCATAAGACTGGAGAATGTAGGACAGATAAAATCACTCTCCCGTCACAAATGAAGTAGGAAAGAGCTAGCAAAAGATCTATTAGTTTCTGACTTTCCACCTCATAAGAGGTCTCCACTTCTCATTACTTTTCTGGAAGGTAAATATTATCAATTCCATTGTATATCTGAAGAAATGTTAGCTGCGATTTATCCAAGATTACTTTGATCTATGGTCTTTTCCTCTATTCCTTGCAGGATTCCAAGCTTTAATAATCTAAAAGCTACTCCCTTAACATAAAAGCTTAAGGATACCCAGGATACCTGGTGAACATGAGACCCATTATCAAAGATCTAGATGGGAAGAAAGAATTGCCACCATCCAAAGTCAAAAAGAAAGTGGGTTCCTAAAATAAATGTATAAACAAATAGTGTTTGAGAGAAAACTTACCGGCCACCATGACATACTTCGGCCTGCTAAGAAGAAGCCTCCAACAGTTCCACGATTAGTGGAAAACATAGCCTGAGAACAAAGGGGTCGACAAATTAATAAAAAACTAGAAGGGTGACCTTGCTAGCCAAAAGGACATACCTCCCCATACACAGGAAGTTTCTTCTACCCTAACCTCTTTCTGAAACATTGTCACATTCCTTTTCCCCTGAAGCCTCATTGGCTCAGATAAAGGAAGCAGGGACCTACATTTGACAGACAAGGAAACTAAGGCTAAGAAAGTTTAGACACCTTGCCCTGGTATTAGCGCTGCAATTAGCTTACAACGTGACTTCAAGCAAGTCACTCTATCATGACTGTTCACTTGTATGTTCAACAGGGGGAAATGAAACTTCCATGTCTTTCTTATAAGCGTAACAAGTATCTAATGAGGCAATATACTTTTTAAATGTATGATATGGGATGTGAATTATACCTTAATAAATCTGCTTCCAAAAAAATTAAAAATCTATGAAAATGCAAAGCATTTGTAGTAAAACTTACACACACACACACACACACACACACACACATTCAAGCTCAATTCGAATCTCTACTACCTGAGATTGTAGATAGGAGATTGCTGGAATCATTTCTTTACAATATTTGTGACAAGTACAGTAAAGGGGAAGTATAGGGGAAGGTCCTTTGGGCAAGGATGACAAGAAACACTTCACAGAGACACAAATGACCAGAAACAAATTAATCCCAAGGATTCAGGTTCCAGTAGTCACCTGGGAAAAGGCCATTCTGAAGGTCATTCTAAGTCAAAGAAGGTTGATATCCTCCAGGCATGGCTGGAGGGACGAGTTTGGGGCTCAGACACAATCAGTTGATCTCAGAAACAAGGAACTTAGAGGAAGAATGTGACAGCAGGATCTAAAATAGGGGGCTAGAATAACTCAGGAAAGGTGCCTGGCATGGACAAAAGGTAAGAAGAGGTGTGCCCACACTGGGTCTTTTCCTTTTGATGGTGTTCATCCCTGCTTCTCTGCAAGCCCAGACTTTTCAAGGCCCCTCAAACATCACATTTCCTGTGAAACCTCCCCTGTGACCGCTTCTCTTTCCCAAGCAAAACTACCTTCTCCCTACTCTAAACATCTAGAGAATTTCATTTATATCTTGTTCAAATGTCTTACCTTTTTTTACTTTGTATGACCATATTACAAGTTTTTTTGCATTTTTACTTTTATTAGTACCTATTAATTTTATAAAATATTGAATCTCAATGTATATCTACTTTGACATCAATCCCCTCATTACCCTCCTTTCATATTTCAAAGCTTTAATCTCCCATAAGTCTTCGTAAATGTCTTGTGCATGGAAAGGCATTGTCTCATGATCAAGGGATACACAAAGAAAACTCCAAGGTTCCAGTCCCCATTTTGTAAACCATTGCATTAAATTCATCTGCCCACCCTACTAGATCAGAATGACCCATAATTGTAAACTTCAGGGGGAAAAGAAGTGCAGTTACTGTCACACTGTCACATAACACTGTTGTTGGTGGTTTTGTTCTTTTCTCAATGGAATAACAATGTTTTTGAGCAAAAGGAAGGAACTCAACAGCTCTGTTTAGGTGCGAAACAGATTAGTAAACTGGGGATGGAAAGGAGGCTCAGGTGTGACCTATGGTCTTCTGATATATAAAGTGGAACAGTCACTCAACACAGCTGACACAGGGTACAGCCGGACAAAACGAGAGAAGTCCCAGGATGTCAGACCTGGGTTGAGTGCCAAGAAGGGTCTCCTCTTTGTCAGAGCTGTCCAGAAATGGGAGTGGGGTCGCTGGGGAGAGTTTCTGTTGGACTTATGCAAATGAAAGCTGTTAAAAACTTGCCAAAATGATTTTGTCAAAAGACCTAAAGAAGAAATGTGAGCATAAAATGAAGGTTGAAGTCAATCGACCTTAGTCTCCAAGGGTGAGGATTTAGCTCAATGACACCGAGCCCACCTTGTAAGTGCAAGGTCTTGAGTTCGATCCCCATTATGAAAAAAAAAATTAGTCTTGATCTTATGAAAATATATGATGAAAGAAGAAGGAATTTGGCATCATTTGGCCACTGTCACAGCAATGTAATGGTAGAAAGGCCAGTGGAGAAAGTATTTCCAGAAAGGATCTTGTCTTAGGGAAGTTGAAAGGAAGACTAGCAGAAGGAGTATTGGCTTTAGCATCATAAAAATCTCAATTTTAATTGTAGGTCTAGTGCTGCATGACTTCTGGTCACCCTCTCTGATCCTCATCTGTAAAACAGGAGGGTTGAGCTTGCCAGAGGCTATCCCAATTTACACATCAGTTATGCCACTGGTTCAAACAACTTCATAAGGGTCTTAATAATTGCAGAAGACATGGTCATATTTTAAAGAACAAGGGCCTGATGGTAAATACTTTAGGTTTTGTGGGATACATATAGTCTCTGACACATATTCTTTTATTTTGTTTTGTCCAGTTTTGTTTTCACAACCCTTTAAAGGTGTAAAAACCATTCCTCACTTATGGGCCATACAAAACATGCTGTGGTCAGATTTGGCCAGTAGGCCATAAATTTGAACAATCCCTGGCTTGGAGGGATTTCAGAATGGCTTAATGAAATCTCCCACCACGAATAAGTTCAAAGGTTCAATTTAAAAGGATATAAAATCTCCCAAAGAAGCCAACTGAGATCTTGGGGTGAAAAAATGAAAATGAATACCAAAGAAGTTACTAACTCAAAGCCCTAGTGTGATTGAGGTCAAGTTGGAAGAATATAAGACAGAACCAGTTAATGTTGGAAGAGGTGGGAATGGTGACAGCTCTGGGCCTCTAAGTTGAGGAAGTTCAATGGCCCGGGACCCTTGCTTAGCTGTTCAGCCCGAAGTCATGCAAGACTCAGAATGCCCATCTTTCTTTTTTTTTCTTTTGTTTTTTTTTTCACCCCTTTGGTTTTTTGAGACAGGGTCTCACTGTGTAGCTGAGACTGACCTGGAACTCACTGTGTAGCCCAGGCTGGTCTCAAACTCACAGTGATCCTCCTGCCTCAGCCTCCCGAGTGCTGGGATTCCAGGCGTGCGCCACCATGCCGGGCTCAGAATGCCCATCTCTAAATCAAGCCACTCTTGACACTTCAATAGCTAAAAGAAGAATTGGCTGGAAGGATTCCAGCATGTTAAAGAGTCCAGAGGCACACACTAATGAGGAAGATTAAATGTGGACAAACACTAGCAGGATCATTAAGTACCATTTAACAGGACAAATGGTTCTGTTTCAAAAGCACAAACTTAATTTTTTAAAAAAGTGTAAATATCTTCAGGACTGGCAGGAATAAGTAAGATTGGATAAGAAAACCAAGACCATCAGTGATCGTCCAGGAAAATGGGCAGTAGAGGAGGGCTAGCAGAACGACGAGACTCACATCTGCCCTCCGGAACATAAAAAGTGGGATGGAGGGAGAAAAGAAGGCAGGTGCAGTGGCAGAGCCCCTGGCATGGAGGAAAACACCTGAGTTAAGACACTTGAGTTCCAGGAACAATCTTATCTATTGCAAAACCTTAGGCAAATCACAACTTCGCAGGGCTTTGATTTCCTCTTGTGGAAAATGGGGCTTGGTGTTCCTGTCTTCCCTGACTTGTGGCTTTTTGTGAAGAAGTACCACCTATTGGTTTACCCATTTTACTTTAAGTAAAATTATTGAGGGCCTGGTCATACCCCAGGAGGAAAATGATGACAGTACATTTTTTTTTTATTCTTAGAGCCCGTAAACAGTTTTCCCGTCCTTCTCTGCAGAACCTCACAATATCCTTGCAAAGTCGTGAGCATAGACACAGTTGTGCCTGTTTTTATACTTGGGGAAACTGAAGCTGTGGGAAGTTATTCCACACCAGTTAGTGCAAACCATGTGCAAGCCAATCCTGAATGAGTATCTGGCTCCTAGTTAGACGTTTTTGGTGAAGCTAAGAATACTGAGGGAGAAGAGTCAGCAACACTGACCCCATGTGACACTCGGGGAATCTTCCTGCCACATCTAGCTTCCACTGCTGCTTTGTTTCTTTCTTTCTTTCTTTCCAATTTATATTTCCTTAAATCCTTGAAAACCCTGAGCACCCATGGGAGAGTGCATACCCACCCACCTCTCCTCTAAGTCAAAAGAGTGAGTCAGAACCACCTGCTGGCATGGAACCTGTCTGTTGGAATAAAAATAGCTGGAATATTTGCACACTTCAAAAACACCTCTTCTGGTCTGCGGGTGCGCCAGAGTCTGTCATAAATGAACTTTCCAAGTTCCAGGCTGCAGAGAACAAGTTTCTCTGGTTTGCTGTGTATCCAGAGTCCCAAAGACAGACACACGCACTTCCTTCTCCCGACCCCAGGCCACCCTCTGGTCTTCCTCCTCCTTCTCCTCCTCCTGCTCCACCCAGCTCTCCATCTCTAACTCCCTCCCCGCCCCTGGGGAGTGGGACACTGGTCTGCCAGCTCCCACCCCAACTTCGGGCAGGAATCCTGGCTTTCCCACTCTACAACGCTCCCTTAGAAGTCAGAAACTCGATAACTAAGAGGCAGGACAGTAGTCACCTTCCAGATGCCCCTCCCCACAGGCTCCGAGGCGCCGCTTTCCTGCCCCTCCTGCGCTCCCCTAGTCCGCCTTCCTCCGCCTTCCTCCTCTGCTCACAGGCTCCAGGACCCCCTCGGGCCTTCCCGGCCAGGTCTGTTCGTCCTTGCTTGCCCCCACCCCTCACACCATGCCCCTGGATACCTCTCAAGCGTTCCCTGGCGTTTCTTCTCCCCTCCATACAGCTGCGAGCCCGCAGGCCCCCTGGCATCTCAGCCATCGACCCTCTGTGGCCCCTCTCACCCCACCCGATGGCCCTGGTCCCTTCAGCCCGCTTCCCGGAGCCTTCACATACCCACAGCCCGACAGCCATCACTACCACGAAGTAAATGACAATGACAGAGATGTCGGCCGCGTTGCGGATGCGCTCGTAGGATTGGAGAGGAGCGGGAGAGGTGGCTGGCGGGCTCCAGGTGGTGCTGTCCATGGCGAAGGCGTTGGGTCCGT